AACCTAAGTCCATTGCAAAATAATTGAGTAAAGTCTGTTATGAAGACTGCACTATTTGTCAAGGTCAGTGATACACGCCCTCACTGTCAGCCGGAATTTACCAAGGAAGGTCTAGCTCAATCAGCCTTCACAGCTGCCGTGGGCTTCCTCAGCAATTGTGTTGGTCATGGCTGGGTGTGCCCCACTTCTCCTCAGGCCTGTGGGTGGCTGCAAGGGTCCTTGAGCTGATCGTGGGTCCGGAAATGGGCTGCTAGCAAGGCTTCCTTTTAGGGTTTGTGGAACAAACAGACCAACAGCTGAGGTTTCCTCAAGTGAGGCAGGTGACTCTGTGTGTGTGTGTGTGTGTGTGTGTGTGTGTGTGTGTGTGTGTGTGTGTGGCGCGCGCATGCACACAGGCACTGTGTATGTGACAGACTGGGTGACAGAGGCCCAGTCCCGTTTGGTGTTCCTACTTTCTGAGGTCTGGGGGAGGACTGGTGACTACTATGACAGCTGCTCCCTGAACTTGGGTCTGTTGGAGTGTCTGAAGTTGGCTCCCAAATCCAAACGTCCTGCTCCTCCAGCTTCTGCTGGCGGGACCGGAGGTGTCTGAGTCCTGTTAAAGTGCACTTGCCAGTACAAAGTGAGGAGGGATGGCATTATTCTGAAAACGGGGAGAGTTGGGGGGCTTCCCTGCTCTACTGAGCTGCCATTTTCCATCCATGTTTCTTTTGCTTTTCTGAGAACACTGGGGTTTTGGGTGTGCTGCATGTCAGACAGCACTGCCTCTAGCATGCAGTGTGCAGCGGCCAAGTGTGTGTTTGCTGCCCAAGTTCTACAAACTAACCGCGGGCGGGGTGTTTGAGGAGTAGAAGAGGTGTGTTAGAGAAGACAGAGTAATCCTCTTGTTTCTCATGTGGCAGCAGGGTATCCGAGAGTCATTGAGCATCCAAGAATGAGAAGTCTACCTTCGCTTGACTTAGAGACAGTCACCAGTAGGGTATTTCTCTACAGAGACAGGTCGCTGTATCAGTTGTGATAAATCTGCCTGAGATGAGCGTCAACGTGGTCCTTTCTTGTCAGCTAGGGAATAGATGTGTGTGAGCGTGGAGCGGGATATTACAGTGGGACTCACTTTTACCAAACACACAATTTTTCACGAACATAATTCAAAGGCTTCAAATATTTTTTAAATCTTTTCCCAATAAAAAAAATGTACTATTTTTCAAAGGATTCAAACATTTAGATCATTCCTGTTAATGCAATGAGTTCAATACCAAAGTATATCAAACCATTACAATTAGATATTCAAACCACATATAAGCAATTTACTTACAACTTGTAGGCCTGCTAGTGGGAAAAACTCTGTATCATTTCTGGTTACAAATGTGACTACCCAGCAAAGGATTTTTCTAGGAAATTTCCAGGATATTTAGTATCCAGCCTCCCTGTTCCCTTTTCCTTCTGGCCTTATACCCAGCTGGGAACCAACTGGGCAAACCCCAAACTTTATATTGTAAACGGACATAGCGAAGGGCAGCTTGGGGACAAATCCTAAACACTGGACTAGGGTTCACCTTCTTTTTGTCCTCTTCCTCGTCACCCCCGGCTGCCCCACAGCCCACCCAGGAGTCTCTTAGAATCCTATCTACTTACAGCCCAGGGGCTGGGGGAAGGGGCTTTCCCAGGGAACTTTCCTGTAATTCTGTTTGACCAGGATCCAAAATTGATTTGGAATGTTCCATATGCTAGTGCCAGTCTGATAAAATAAAAATAAAAATTGGCACCTAATTTTTTTTTATCATTTAACCATTTTCAAGTGTACAGTTCAGTAGCATTAAGTACCTTCACATTATTTTGCAGTCATCAACACCTTCCTTGTACAGAATTCTTTTTATCTGGCAAAACTGAAACTCTCTACCCGGTTAACACTAACTCCCCATTCCCCTTTCTCCCCAGCCCGTGGCAACCAGCCCTCTACTTTCTGTCTATGAATTTGACTACTCTAAATATTTCATATGAGTAGACTCATACAGTATTTGTCTTTAAAAATAAAACCGGCTTATTCCACTTAGCATAATGCCCTCAAAGGCTCATCCACATTGTAGCATGCGTCAGAATTTTAAGGCTGAATAGTATTCTATTGTATGGATATACCACATTTTATTTATCCACACATCCTTTAATGGATATTTGGACTGTTTCAACTTTATGGCTATTGTGAATAAGGCTGCTGTGTACTTGAGTGCACAAATATTCCTTTGTTATCACATGCTTTAACTTTATAGCAAGATGTATTAAGATAGACTTCTGTATTTACTAACCTTCCATGAATGGAGACAGGAACAAAGTGGGAAGCCCTCTGGGTTATGTTTGCCTGCTCAAGGTCCTTTAAGATCATTTCAGGTGTTGGTGAGTAATCTCAGTATTTTAAGTGGGAGTTAAATATTTTATATTGCCACATAAAGGCCCTCTGATGACTAAATTATTATTAAAAAAACCTTTTAAAGATGAAGTAAAAAATGGTTTCTTAGAAGTGTAGAGCTGACAGTGTTCCTGGAGGGCCAGGAAACTGGTTCTTGGGTCGCTTACAGCCTGAGGAAGGAGCTGATTGTGTTAATCAATATGTACACAGATGAGCAAAATAAAGTGCTTTGAACTGGTAAGAAGTATACTTTGTATTTTTTCAATATTTCCTACATAGTGGTTCCAAATTAAATTTTAAAATACTATAAATTCTGCACATCACATTAATATGTACAGATAATAACTTGAAGTGTGTGTATCATATTTTGATGTTTTAAATTGCATGTATTTTAATTATTTTCCCTACCTCCCATCTCTTTTAGTGGATATTTTTGTGAAGAACATGTGGCAAACCTAATCCAATGCACTCCTCAAAGCCACCTAGTTCATTGATGTCACTCTTTCCTGGTCGAAAGCACTGTTGCATATCTAATTGTATGTGTGTGCTGTGTGTGTGTGCACGTATGTGTATCTTTGGTCATTTTACCTGGCGTGGGAAGGAGAGGAGAGAGAACTTTCAGGATGTATAATGCTACCTTGAAACAAAAGAAAAGTATTTTTGATAAAGTCATTAATATCTAGATGCCATGGAAAAAAAGAACTCTCTCTAAATTCTGTTTCAGAAGATGTTGATATTGGCCATGCTCCCTTAAAACAAGATCCTTTTTCTTAAGCTAAATAATGATTTCTCAACAATAATTCCACTGCTCCAGATTTAACTCTGGTTCATTAGTCTTTTTCAATTCTAGTAACAAAACAGATGAGGAGATAATTTTTCATTCTGTGATTCCATGAACTCACTATTGGGTAAGGACTTTGTTTGTTTTTAATATTTGCTTGAAAGAAAAAAAATGAGCCAATAAAAAGAATTCATGAAAACCATACAATCTGCTATAGAATATAAGAGTAACATGGATTGTGTGAACATAAAATTTTCCAAATATTAAAAATATGATTCCTGCAAATATAAAATGAAAACCTATTTAAGATTTGGGCTATTTTTCCTAACATCACCCATTTTAAATGTGTGTGTGTGTATGTGTAAATAAAATGAAACACACACACAAGTATAAAAGAAAATATAGGTTGATTTAAAAGTTTATTTAATGCATGCATTTTTGTTGAAAAACTGACATGATTTTAAACTTCATGGAGAGCTGAGTTTGACAAAGAATTTGTCTCAATAACAGGAGCTAGGTTACCGTACCCACAATGTCCACCTCCTGCTCCTCAGAGCAGGCTCTTATCTTCGCTGAACAACAACAACAGAAAATAATTAGCAAGAGTGCCTGCTGCAAAGGAGGCTAGGAAGTTTATTTTTAACTACTTCTTTTTAAGGCTGCACAACAAGTTTAGCCCTTATATGGGTGTGTTCATGGATGGTTAGATTTAGATCAGGCTCATGGTAGAGAGAAAGCAAGTGAGGACGTGGGTGAAGGAGCGGGGGCCTTGCTTTGGAGAGGCCCTCAGACATCCCAAGTTCAAAGCCTTCAGACTGAAACATTTCTTCCCCCCCTGCAGTCTCTGCCTGCCCAACTCACAGCGACTCCTTTAGGTCTGGGTCTCAGTGACCCCCCTCACCACCAACCGCGTTGCCCAAATCAGACATTTAGGTGATGAGTTATTTCACTTTCCTTCTCCTCCGTTCTACTGGTCACAGAATCCAGTGCATTCCACCCAATACCACTTCTCATTTGCCATTTCTCTCTGTACTCATTGCCAATGCCCTGCTCCTGGACGTGCCCTCTCCTGCCTGGATTCCTGCGGCAGGGCCAGGCCCGTCTCCCTGCCTCCCCAGCCCCAATCCCAACCCCACAGAGACTCTGGGAGACTTCCCTGATGAAGCCGCTCAGTTTAAAATCCCGTTACAGCTTCTCCGCAACCCCTTTATTTGGTTTATGAGGTCCTATTTATTTCTGCATCTTAATGCCTCTCTCCAAACATCTAAAATACACTCTCTTGTCACTCTTTGTACGTGACTTTCTTACCTGCTTTGTTTCCTCTCTCACGTTTTGCTCATCCGCAGGGGCTTAGCTTACTTCCTTGGAGCAGCAGGAACCCCTGCCAGCCCCTCCCCCACCCCAACTCTGTCGCTCTTTAAGGTCTTGTCACCTGGTGAAGTCTGTCGCCCTGGCTAGCTTGGGCCGGCGGCTTCTCACCCTCTCATCTTGCCCTTGGAGCTCCAGCGACCTCAACCCTGGTCTCTTGAACCTCTTGGAAGATTCCCGCTCTTTCTGCCCCTCGCCACTCTTTGCCATCCCGGGGGTGCCTCCCTGAGTCCCCGACCGGGTTGGATGCCACGTTCGTTTCACACGCTTAGGGCACGATGGCCGTTTCCTTCTAGCACAGTCCGGGACCCTCTGTTCAGCTGTGTCACTGTCTGCCGGGTGACAGTCCTCACTTTTGGAACGTCCGCGCCGAGGGGGCCGGACCCTGTCCCTTTGCCCGCTGTGTGTTCCCAGGGCCACCGCGCGCCTGGCAGGTGCACAAATGAGTGAAGGGGAGAGTGAATGAAGGAGCGTCTGCCGAGGCCGGGCGCGCTGGCCGGGCCCCGCCACCGCCCCGGGACCCCGCGGAGTCCTCCGCACACCAGCGCAGCGCCGGAAGCGGCCGGGTCGGCCCCCTCCCCGCGGCGCCCGCTGCCTTATCTCGGCGCCTCGGGGCCCCAGCAGGAGACGCGGGCACCCCGGGAGGGACGCAGCGGCGGCGGCATGGGCCCGCGGCCCCGGCGCGGGGGCCGCCCGCCTCGCCGCCTGCCTCGCCGCCTGCTACCGCTGCTGCTGCTGCTCGGCCTGGCCCGCGGCGCGACTGGAACGCACGGCGCCGTCGGTGAGTGCGGGCGGGGGCGGGCGCAGCACCGGGGCCCCGCAGGTCCTTGCTGGGCCTCCACGAGGCTGGGCGCGCCCGGACGCTTCCCCGCCCCTGGGCCGGACCCGCGCGGGGCCCGAACCAGGAGCGCAGGTGGGGCAGCTCCGGCCGTTGAGGATAGGGAAGGCGGGGCTCCAAGAAGCAGGAGGGGCTCCCCGCCTGGGCTTCCCCGTCCCCGCCCCAGGGCTGCCAGGGAGACCTGTTTGGGGGTGGCCTTGCTCGCGCCCCGGAGGGACCTGAAGCGAGGTGGGGGCTGGGCACTAGCGGCGCCTTGGGGAGAGTCACGCACGGCGTCGAAGGGTGTTCCGGCTGGCCGCACCGTCACGCTTCAGGTCCTGCTGTGGCTTTTGCACTGTAAATTCTAGAGCCGAAGAAATTTTCTCTCTACCTTTTAATTCTTTTCACCTTGATAAGGAACTAGATGCTAATATGGTGAGGGAAAAAGTGTAAGAAAGTTTACAGGAAGAAAGTATTCATTACTTGATTCAATAGATGGTCCTTGTTTCCCTGTGCAAGATGTGATGAGGTCTTGATGCTGGACCTCAGTGAGTTCGTATTGTGAAGGAGACAGAAGCAAATAATCTATTTCCAGACCATTGGAGTAGATTCCCCCCCCCCCCCATCCCATTCAAACGCAGTGTTTAATATGGTATTGAGATATATAAGGGTGGTGGCAATTGCCCAAATAACTGTAAGAGAAGACAATGCCATATATGCTTTGGGAAGATGTGGGTGGTCAAAGAAGGGAAAGATTACGTCTGGCTGGGGGAATCTAGTGGCATCATGGATGAGGTGACCCTTTAACCAGACTCTCAAGGATTGGTGGTGTTTGGATATGGGAAGATGAGGAAAAGGCGTCCCCGCTCATAGTAGAGGGCACAGTGAGCGCTCCACAAATACTGTACGTAGAATGATGAATTCCGGACGGAGCTGCCGGGACAAGCAGCACACGGGGGCTCAAAAGCAAGGGGGCCTGCAGTTCAGATCGACTGGTAGGTAGGATATGGTTGGGAAATGCGGGCGGAAAAGCAGAATGGATTTAACCAGAAGGCGGAGTGCCCTAACTGGCAGACCAAGGCATTTAGACTTAGTTGGTTATGGGAAGTGGGGAGCCCTTGGAAGTCACTGCAGGTTTTTGCGCCGAGAGTGATATGAAAAGTGGCTGTAAGGAAACCCTCTGACTTACTTAATAAAACCAAACACTGACCCTGAAGTGGAAGGAAACCTATGTAAGGAAAAATGGTAGGTACTTTGCAGCTCAGACTCCTGTCCCCCCAGGTTTTCTTCATCTTGGGACTTCTACCATCACTGGTGGGTGCTTCTCTTGATGGCTCAGCCTTCCGAAGTGCCTGTTTTTGTACATCATATGCCTGAAAGGCTTTCCAACTTCCTCCTATAACTTGGTCTCCCACGGCAGTGTACATAAAAGCTTGTAGGTGCTTCGACCCTATTTCAGAATTTTTTTTAACATATAATTTTATAAAAAATAGTTTATTTTTAGAGAGAGGGAAAGGGGGGAGAGAGAGAGAGAGAGAGAAAGAACATCGGTGTGTGAGAGAAACATGAGTTGGTTGCCTCTCACACGTGCCCTGACTGGGGACCGAATCTGTAACCAGACACATGCCCTGATCTGGAATCAAACTGGCGACCTTTTGCTGTGCAGGACGACATCCAATCAACTGAGACACAATGGTCAGGACGCATATAATTTTTTAATTGAATTAATTGGGATGACATTGGTTAATAAAATTACATAGGTTTCCGGTGTAAATTCTGTAATACATCATCTGCATATTATATTGTGTGTTCACCACCCCAAGCTGTCTCTTCCATCACCATTTATTCCCCCTTTACTCTTTTCTACCTCCCCCTCCAGAATCTTTGTGTTAAGACTCTCTAGCCTAGCAAACTTGCCAATGTAGTCTTACTGAATTGTTGGTCTAAGGTAGTTGAACAAAGTGGCTCCCCTAGGTCATCCATCTGCAACTACTTAAAGGCTCTGGGGTGAATTTGGGGAAATGGAAGTCAGGATTGCCTGGTTGAGCCTTCTCTCCTTAGGTAGGCATTGTTCTTTCATTTACAACCTTGGAGAATCTGATTTTATTACGGGCAGGTTTCCCTACAGTGGACAATGTGGGGAATGACTGGAGGCTTAGAGCCATTCAGGAAGTTGCGCAACCGCTGGCTTAGAAGTTCTGAGCACTGTCTCCACAGTATGACGGCAGGAAAAGAGGACCAAGTGTAGAAGATAAGGGGGAAGTGGAACTGCATGACCTAGTAACAGACATGAAGGTGCAAGGGAACAGAAGATGAAAGATGACAGGAAGGGCTGGGGACTGGGTGACTTGGATCTCTGGTTCCACAGGAGGGGCAGGCTAATTTGGGAAGAAGGATGACTGAATTGGTTTTAGATATCCTGAACTGGAGGTGATGGTAGGGCTTTCAGATGAAACCAATGGGGACTTAAGACTGTGGACAGCAGATGTATGCAGCTAATGTAAACTTGATGGTTGCTTGGAGCCTGAGGTTTAGTAGAAGTAAGAGGGCCAAGGACAGATTCTTGAGGAAGCTCAAATTTAGATGGTAGATGCAGGTAGAAGAGAAAGAGCAGCAGCCACTAAGGTAGGAAGAAGGCTGGGTTAGCAGAGCATCAAGAGAAGTCGAGGGGGTGGAGACGGGGAAGGCTTCGGATTCGGGGGCCTGGGTCAGCGGTGAGCCAGGGCCAGCCCAGCAGTGAGCGTGAGCGTCAGATGCGGGGGCTCTAGAGAGCACAGGCGCCTGTGCTGCAGAGCGGGTGCTCTTTAAAGAAGTTGGAAATAGAAGGTGGCATTCAGGGGGCTGGCCAAGCCAGTGCAAGAATCTTTTCGTGTGTTCTGAGGGGGAAAGGAGGTGTGGGGGTGAGACTCAGACCATTTTAGACTCAGGGGCCTATTCAGTAGAAAGGGAGAAAATAAAGAATGCAAAAATAAATGAGATATCTCAGGGAGCAGGTCCAAAGGCAAACTTGGTCTACAGGTAGGAAAGCTTAGTCTCTGGAAGGGGATGGAAGGAGAAGAATGGAGACCTGCCCTTTCCTTCCCCCACAGCCATCTCCTTAGTGAGTCTGTTCATATTTCCAAAGCAGCCCAGTTGTCTTCCCTCCCTGGAAGCCCCATGAAGTTCTCTAGTCTCCTTTGCAGCCTCAGCAACACCATGCCCCTGCCTCTGTACCACATTTGTATGGGACGCGTACACACTTACTATTTACATACGCATTTCTATGGTACTCTGTACACTTCCACCAGTGTGACTGTTTACTGGACTGAGAGCTCTATGTGCATAGGGACTGTGGCTTGTAGTTAAGAACCTGTTATGGAAATAAATGAAGACCAACCAAATGAGAAGAGGCACAGCAATCTATTCGGAGCCTACTATGGCAAGAGAGTCAGCCACCATCACTTACATTTGTCAGAGACTCAAAGGCAGGCAGTGTAAAAGCTTTATAGTGGAACAAGAGGGAAGGCCCTGGTTGGAGGATATTGGCATTGGTTAGAGGCAGCTTACTACCAGCGGGAGTCCTGTGTGATTGGTTAGGGGAACGTATTTGGCTTTCTCTGATTGGTCCTAAGTTGGAATGCTGGAGGCAGGGTAGGGGAGCAAAAATTAGGGAAGCTGGGTGATATTGTCTGAGTCCTGACCGTTTGGGACCGATTGCTACAGAGGTTGCGATTTGACTTCCTGGACTGATTGCTATAGATTGCGGGTCAGAGTTCTATTTTTACATATGGTCTGGCCATTGTCCACAGGTATATTCAGTCTCTCCCTAAATTACATTTAATTGGTATCAAAGATGTTTCAGGGAGGAGAGAATGGGGGAGCCAAAGTTAGATGGCCTGAGTGTGAGGGAAGCGTGAGAGCACAGTTGGTTGAGCAGGAGGGTGTTGGTTGGTGGCTAGGTGGGGTGTCAGGCCCTCGGGGAATAGAGAGGTTAGGAAGGGGAAGGATGGGTGGAACCAGTCAGTCCTGTTTCTTAACCTTTCTCTGAATGTGGGAGTGGCTGGGGGACTTGCTGGCTCAGGCCTGTCTGAGGTTTGGAAGGCCACAAGGAGGATGGGCAGAGGCCTTGAAAATCTTGGCAGAGCAATCAGTGGTGGAGAAGGTGCGGGAAGATCTGTATAAAGGGCACCTGACTTTACTAATCATGCATTTCATAGGCTTGACCTTCACTCTGTTATCATGAATCATAGCAGCATATTCACTCGTTAGAGGGGGGAAGAGGAAGAAAGAGGAAAAGTGGAGGGAGCGAATTGTTTCAGAGGAACCCGCAGTTGCTCAAAGAAAGGGAGCAGGGTTGGAGCCCAGAAAGATTGCCACTCTGGCCTGTCTTCCACCTCCAGAGAGCTGGCCCTGGGCACATTCTCAGTCTTCTGGTCAAATCCTAAATGGGCACCCAAGGTCTCTGTAGCCTCAGATAGCAAGTGGCCTGTTGGCCTCAGCTCTGCAGAGGAGACAGAGTGAATGAAATGACAGATTTTTTAAGAAGTATACAGCCTGCCCAAGAATGAGAGAGCTTATTGGGGTGACATGCGGGACAGGAACCTAGGGGGTGGCCTAAATATAGGGCTGCTTAACTCAAAACTCAAAAGCATTGAAATGGGGGCACTTAGTGGGGGTTGGTTCCTGGTCAGGAGGTTATGGGTGGAGGCCCTGTTAACAGACTAAAGGGGTCCGCTTGCCTTCATGCATCAAAGCCCAATCAAACTCGAACAGGAAGTTGCAGCCAAGGAAGTAAGGGTTTATTAATTGAGGAAATGGTACCAAGCCCAGAGTCACAGGTGAGCTAATGCTCAAAGATCTGGCTCCCTGATGGCTTCCATGGGATGGGTTATATAAAGGAAAAATCATTAGTCATTGTGGCTAAAGGAGTTGGGGTTGCGGTCCCCACTGACTGGTTGGGGCCAGTGGGCAGTCAGCAGGTCATT